GGGGGGGGCATGTGACAAACTGGGAAGTTTATACATGTCATCAGATAGGCTTTGTGCTGATAAACCTGGAAGTTGAGTCATGAGGACATGGGGTTCATAACTCTATTCTACTACTGTACATGTTTAAATGCTCATTAATATAAAGTGTTTTTACAAGCACCTAAAGAGGGAACATTCTGGCCTGCAACTGTAAGTGACAGGGTATACATTGTTGGGGCCCAAGAGAGGAAGACCCCAACCCCCAGGCCAGGCCCCAGCTGGGGCAAGGACAGGCAAGCAGTCAGCAGGGCCAGTCTCAGCCAAAATCAACTGCAGTCCCTTTGTCCCTCAAATTCACAGCTCCCACCACCCCTTTCCCATCTACTCCTCCCACATCTCAGTGTTCCAGGGAGCCAGGTGTGCAGGGAAAGTGTGAGCTGCAGGTTATAGATGGAGAAACTGAGGTGAACGGAGAGGCTCCATGGTGGGGCTAGAACCTGGGATTCCTGGTTACTAGTTGGGCCCTCCCTTAGACCACCTGCGGATTCTCAATTCCCAACAGATCTAAAGGAAGAAATAAAGGGGATAATACCTTCAGGCTTTAACTTCTCTAGAAACCACTTTCTGCAAGACAAGCAAAGGTGAGTCAGACACCAAGAGAAGATGGATCTTCTAACCACTTTCTTCTCTAGGTTGTACCCCAGAGGAATTATAGCCACCTGGACAGCCAAGGGGCTAACAAGATAAAGGCATGTCTCTCCCTGGCCAGTGTGGTTCAGTTGGTTGGGCATCATCTGTGCACTGAAAGGTTGCAGGTTCAGTTCTGTCAGGGCATATGCCAGGTTGAGGGCTTGATCCCCAGTAGGGGGCATGCAAGAGGCAGCAGGTAGATGTATCTCTCTCACATTGATGTTTCTCTCTCTCCTTGTCTCCCTTCCTCTCTCTCTAAAAATCAATTTAAAAAATAATTTTTAAGTCTCAACTCAAAATGAAGACAAATCATCCAACAGGAAAAAGAAATTGGAGGCAAACAGGTAATGCGCAGAAGAACAACAATTTAACAAAGCCTCAAGCTTACCGGTAATTAGGAAATGTAAAGTAAAACTGCATGTGATAACCTTCCACTCCCCACATTGCAAAATATGGAGCAATGCATACTGTAAGTGTATATGGGTGCTACTGCCTTGGCAAACATATTGACAATCTAAATGTTAAATATATAAATATCCAAGACCCAGCAGCAGCACTGCTGTGCATTTGCCCCCCAACCAAAGAGAAGGGTATTCAAACTGGGGTATTGGTACCCTAGAGATACACAAGGACCTTCTGAAGGGGTCCAAGGCACTGGATAGTTTTAAGGAAATCCATTTTCAGATCTTGACCTCCTTATTTTCTTTCCTGAAATCGATCTGCCCATGAATGTACCTCTTCGGTGGGTGGGTTCCCCTTGCCCAACTCCACTTACACAATCACATTCTCACACTTTACAAAAGAAAGGCATGCCTCTCCCCCATCTCTAATCCTTCCTCAGGATAATCGGAAATACTGGTATTGATGCCAAGACAGTGAATGAACCAAGATATCAGGTAACCAATTATTTCCAAGTTCAGATGGTTTTGTGGGCAGGGCCCTGCAAGGGGGTGGGGGAGCACTCACATGTAGGGGCCAGGGAGGCCCCCAAGGGCATTGAAGCACAGGCAGGTATCCTCCACCAGTACAGGCCCCTGCACCTGCAGCACAAGGAAATGAGAGACCTGAGACCTGCCACCAGCAACAGGCCCTGCTGCAGGCCTGAATTCCCAGGCCATCCAAGCTGAAGCCAGGCCCACAGCTGGTTTGCGATCTGCAGCAGCAGCATATAGAGATCCATCTGCTACTGGGATTAGCCCTTGGTTAATCTCTTATATTTCTTTTAGAGACAGGGACACCAAAGCCTTGGCAGGTTGTAAAGCTTGCTCCAGGCCTAGCAACAGAAAAGATGGGATTCACACTCAGGCAGCCTGACCCTTCAGAAAATGCTCTTTCTCAGTCTCACAGAGATGAGTGCAGGGGTGGATGTGTATGAAGAGAATGTAGGGGCTGGAATGTATGTATCTGAGAATTATAGAGAGAATTATGTATATAAGTGGTGGTCTGGGGAGATACTATGCAGTTAAAGTTGAGAAAGGCAGTATTTCAGGCTCAACATGAACTAACCCAGAACAGCTAGGACTGGGCAGGTCCCGGAGTCATAACAAACTGTGCCCATGCTACTGTTCTCTACTCATCCCCAGCAGGCACAGGCCCCAGGAGCCCCAGGAGCCACGCAGAGCAAGCACCTCGCGAGCTGCCTCTTGACACTTCTGTATGGAAATCTCATCAGGCTCTCCCTGGTACTCTGGCACTTATGAGGAAAAAGACACAGAGTCAGGTCACCAGCAGACAGAGAAATCAAACTGACTTTTAAAAATAAAACAAAACAGAGACATACGGTCAATTTTCTTTGCCACCAAAGTACATGGAAACTTGTCTCCTAGAATCTGAATGACCTGTTCCAAAATGAAAGAACATTTATCACCATTTGTTAATGATTCCCCATTATTACACAAGCTGTCATCCAACATTCTCATCAGTTAACTCTCTTGTCAGTCCCCTATGGCTTATCATGAGCCTCACCCCAGCAGGTCAGCTCNAGTCAGGCCCATGAGCCTCACCCCAGCAGGTCAGCTCCCTTGTCTCCCCAATCTCCTACTTCAGGTCTCTGTTCATGCTTACCATCCACCCAAAACACCCACTTCCCTTCTCAATGCTCCCAGAAACTCTCCCAATTTTCCTAGGCCAGGAATTCTCTATTAGGCGTTACCCAGAATCCAGGAGACCAGTGATCTTGGATGGCGGAAAAAGAAAACAATTTTTTTAAAATTAATTTATTTTTTATTGAATTTATTGGGGTGGCTTGGTTAAAAAATATCTCTTTATTTTCAGTAACCCTAGCTTTGCATCTCTTTCAATTGTGAATATACAAAACCAAAGTAATATTAGAAGTTCCTGTGACCTGCTTTTTTTCCCCATTGATTTTTAGAGAGTGGGAGGGAGGGAAGGCAGGGGGAAGAAGGGGAGAAGGGGAAAAGAGGGGGAGAGAGAGAAACATCTCTGTGAAAGAGACACATTAACTGGTTGCCTCCCAAACACACCCCGACGCAGGGCGGGGATCGAACCTGTAACCCATGCCCTTGACAGGAAATCAAACCCATGACCCTTCGGTGTGCAGGCCAACACTCCAACCACTGAGCAACACCAGCCATGGCTCCTGTGACCTTTAAACCTATTAAAATCACAGATGCTGCCCTGGCCAGTGTGGGTCAGTTGGTTGGGCATCCTCCCATGCACTTTAAGGTTGTTAGTTTGATTCCTGGTCAGGGCATATGCCTGGGTTGCTGGCTCCATCCTTGATAGGGGGCATGCAGGAGGCAGTGATCACATCAATGCTTCTCTTTCTCTCCCCCTCTCCCTTCCTCTCTCTTTAAAAATCAGTTTTAAAAAATCTTCTAACCAACTGCACTCAGCCAGGGCCAATATTCATTATTTTAAAATTATGATTAATTACACACACTGCTAGATTGAATCCTTTAATATGTTAATAAAGTAGATGTAACTGATCACACATACTTATATTTTGAGAACTGTACTTCAATAATTTCCTTTGTAATTCTATGTACTTTATTTTGCATATTTAAAAATATTTTCCAAAAAAAGGGTCTAGAAGCTTTATCTGTCTGCCAATGGGGTACCATGGGATGATGAAGTTAAGGCTCCCTGTTTTAGGTCACCTTCATTTTCTGCAGTGAGTCTCCTCTGGCCACTCCAGCTCCTTCTTCTAAATGTGGGAGGGCCATGTTCTCAGTTAGAGGCTGAGCTTAGTTTTGGGGTTTGGCACCCACCACCTTGCATAGGGCTCTGTTCAGGATGGTGCTGCCTGTCGGCTTGACTGGTCTGCCCTCAGGATCTCAAATCTTTTATCAGCATAGGGCTCTGGCTCCTGAGGTCACCTTGTCCTGGCACAGAAGTATCATCAGTCCCTATGCTGTGGACAAATGAAGCGTCCCCTTGTGACTGCACCCCACTGGTGTGCCTAAGATATATCTAGTGGTTGTCATCCTGATTTCCCACACACAACCCCACCTGCTTGGTCATGGCTGACTAAGCAGGGGCAAACCCTTGACCCAAGCAAGACCAATCAGAGCTAGTGTCTGGCAGAAGCCTCACTGCCTCCTCCACTAGGGGAAAAGGGATGACCATCTAGAGAGAACTACCAGGATAGGACTGCTCCTCAAGAGACTCCTCAAGTCCTGTGGGACACCATAACATTGTACTTCCAGAAGAGTGAAGTGTTTTATATGAGCTCTCTGGTGTCTCTGTTATTTGCAGCCAAAGACCTTTCATCAACCCCCAAAATCCTCACAGCTGGCTACAGAGTGCCTGTGGCCAGGAACTTTGGATCCACTGCTTCCTTCACTCCTCCTCTCAGCATCTGCATTTCAAAGATGCGGAAAGATAGTGGGGGAGGCTGAGGACCACATTTCGGGACCGTGGCAGGACGTGGACGGCTCAGTTTGGATGTCTGTCCCACGGCCTGCCCGGCCCCCGCCGCCCGTGACGCAGCAGAGCGGTCTGGGTCGGATCCAGCAAGGGTGTCGGGATCCCGTTCTGAGGTGTAGCTCAATCAGCGACCTTCGGGAGAGGTGCTAAGGACCCCGCCACTCCTTCGGTTCCCACAACCTCTAAGCTCACAAGCCCTGTGTCCCGGGCCACCCCACTCCACGCGGTCAAACCCCTCCACAAACGCGGGGCCGACCCTCCACGCCCCCTGCGGGACTCCTCCCGCGTGCTTCCGGTGCCTGGAAGCCCCTTCCCCGCCCCGTCCACAGCCTACCCGGCCACACTCCACCCGCCCAGCCGCCTCCTAGCAGGCCTCCCACACCCTGCCAGCACCTCCTCCAGCTTCTTGGCGTTGCCCGTAACAAACACGACCTTCTTCCCGGCCAAGGAGGCCGCCATGGCGATACCCGGCGCCTCGCAGTCCCACCGGAAGCCCCTCTTCCGGGTAGACGCACTTCCGGCTGGCGGCGGAAGGGGGCGGCCGGGTGGCCGGCCAGTGATTCAGGGGAAGACGGCCGGGGATCCCGCTGCACGCCTGGGCAGCGGCGGCAGCCTCAGTGCTTCACGGCCTCACGGGGAAAGGGGACAAGGCCGCGCTGGGCGCCCGGAGCCCTTGCTCAGTCCCCGGGGAGCAGGGGGCCCCCTCTCCGGATGAGCAGCCCGGGGCGCCCGCGCTACGAGGGAGGATCGTGGCGCGGTCCCGGCTCCCCGAAGCAGCGGTCTTCCCGAGCGGAGGTTGACCGCTCCGAGGTCAGTCTCTCCCACCGAGGACGCTATCTGCGGGGACCAGGAGAGACCATTCCAGCCAGCGGCCCGCCGCCGCTTTCGCCCCTTGCTGAAACTTGGGCACCAAGCGAAGCCAAGAGCTCCCTCCTCTCCACCTCGAGGCCGCTTGTACGCGGGCACCTGCGAGGCTGCCTCTGGGAACTGTCTCTTTCTGGACAAGGGCTCCCAAGCCCGGTTCTTTATCCTGACATCACCTTCAGCCCCGGTCCTGGAGCTCCTTCTTGTCTGCCAGCCCTGAACTACTTGACTGTGACTTTAAACTTGGCATAGTCTAAAGCAAGCCCGGTCTTTCCACCCATCTTCCAGGCTTGGGACTTAAGTATTTTGATTCCCTCATCCATCTAGCCTCCCAAATTCATCATCCCTTCCCAATATTCACGTCTCAGACAGATCTTTGCATCCTGAACACAGCAAAGAATAGAATGTGCCCCAGCAGACCCACCTGGGCCACAGGCCTTAACCCACTGCTTACTCCCCCATTGAGCAGCTCACCTGTCTCCCTCCTCCAGGGACTCAGTAACTAAGGGTAACAGCAAGGGCAGATTTAGGGCCGCCTCTACTGGAGAAGCAACTTCTATCAGAAGAGTACTAGTACTCTGGAGGTCTGTCAGTGCCTGGATGAGTTATTTTGCTTAATGTTAATGACCTCTGATAATCTTGATTTTTTTTTTTTAGACCCCAGAATTTGTCCTTATGGAGTAGTATTTAAAATTCCATGCTCTCTAAAAACTGCTCAATGACCATAGCGTTAGTATCACACAGGCTAAAAGTCATTACTGTGTTCTGGGGCAGGTCCTGAAGTTTCTGAGTCAGCACTCTTTCCACAATGTGATTTGTGAAGCTCCTTGGAGTTGATTTGGGAAGTATTCAGTTAGATTCCAGGAGTGGGTAGCCCTCCCTCTATGTCATCTGCCTTCCTTCTTCATGAAGTCATAGAGAATCCCCCAGGAGGTGGAGTGACAGAGGAGGTTTCCATGATCAATGCTGACCTCCTGGCTGTTGAAAATTTCAGCTACACCCTTATGCTAGGAGGAGTTTGCCAGGGACTGGGTACAGAAACCTGATGTACCACAGACAAGTACCATGTGCTATGGTCCGTGCAAGGACCTTGGGAGTGCTGGGTGCTGAAAGAACCACCCAGGTTGGGGAGGCTGATCAGTCACAGCAAGTATAGGAGCTCACAAAGAGTTAATAAGCAGGGAGTATTGTGAATGGAGTTCCATTAGTGCCAGGATTTACCAAGACCTCACTCTAAATCTGAAGACCTTGGAGCCCAAGAGCATAGGGGGAGGGAGGAGATATGTGAATACTCAAAATTGCATACAAAAGTTTGTGTATGTGTGATCTTTAGTCAGGACTCTTGGTGGCAAGGGTCAGAGAATCCTCTAAGGCAGCAAAACAAAAGAAATGTGCCCTGGCCAGTTTCTCAGTAGTTAGAGCACTGGCCCACAGATGGAAGGGTCTTGGGTTTGACTCCAGGTCAAGGGCACTTACTTGGGTTGCAGGTTTGATTCCCCGCCCCTGGGGCAGGTGAGGGAGGTAACTAGTTGATGCGTCCCTCTTGTAACAATGTTTCTCCCTCCTCCCTCTCCCACTCTCTAATCAATGGAAAAAAATATCTTCCCATGAGGATTAACAACAACAAAAAAGAAATGTATTGATTGGTTCGATTAACTGATGAGTCTACCTATAAGGAGATAGTCAAGTGCTTAGTTGCTTTGAACAGAAAGGAAGGAGAATTCGTCATTCATTCATTCATTAAATAGGCTATGCTAAAATTATGTGTGAATTTTTACCTGCTTTAACAAAGAATATGACTGGAAATCTCATTAGAATTGCACTCCTCTCAGTTGGGGAAACCCAGTTAAGCAAATAAGGACGATTCTAGCCCTCAAAGGAGCTTGTCAGGTCCTATCAATTCTACCTCTGAAATAGTTCTTGAATCAATCCCCTCCTTTTCACAACCCCAATGCTACTGTCATGAGTCCAATGCTGTTCTTACCTGGACCAGGAAGATAGCTCTCCCTGCCATTTTCCACTCCTCCTGTATGCCCACAAACCTTAAGGGACATGCTTGGGGTCCAGAACTCTGAGAACCTGAGAACTGCAAATGAAAACTATAAAAATGATACCTGTTGAGGCAACAAGCAAGAGTTATCGCTATTGACAGTTTGTTGTTTTGCCCCTCCAGGCAGCTTCTGAGCACATGCAAATTATGAAAATGTATAGTCTTAATTTTAGTTTTTAATAAAACTTTTATTATGGAAAATTTCAAACTTACACAAAAATGTCAAACTTAAAAAATAAGAGAAAAAAGTAGTGTAATGAGCCCCTATATACCTATCACCCAACTTAACAATTTTCAACATTAGCTATTTTTATTAAATCTATCCTGCCCATTTTGCATGTTTAAAATTTAATTTTAAAATATAAATTATGAAATATTCCAAATGTACAGAACAGAAAATCCATGCTCAAGATCTCATCATTCCAATGTAACAATGTGGTGGTGTTTAGTGCTTTTAAAGCATACATAAATGTTGTCACGCCACATAACCATTTGCAATAATTTCCACTTAACAGATGTTAACATGTCATATTTTTTCAAATCTCCCACCACTCCCACCCCCCATACAGAACCATTGGTCCTGGGATCTTTATGTTACTACACACATAAAAGGCTTCATATTACTCTAATAGCAAATTCCCAGTAGTTACTTGCTTTTTTAAAAATCTCGAGTGAGTTTATATCCTGTTCCCAGTTTTTTGTTTTGGCTTGGTTTTTAGAATAAATACCTTTATTACATGAGCTAAGATAGGAGGAAGGGGGTTTTATTTGCCTTTCTGGGCCTTGATTTCCTCAGACAGAACTCCAGCTCCTTGCCCTCTAGCACATAACCATCTGCTTGGCCTCTTTGGCCTGGTATTGAAGCTTGCTCTGCTGGAACTGCTTCTCTAGAAGATCGCTGATTTTGGCATTCTTTTTCCTTTCATCATATTTCTTTTGAATTTTCTTTGATTTTGTTTGTTTAAAATCTCTTCCTCCTCAGGAGTCAGCTGGGCCCCCTTCTTGCCATCCAGGGGCAGTGCATAGTGGGACTCTACCACTGTCACTACGGTGTGCTGTCAGTGAGCACGATGCAGTTCTTAGTAGGGTCTTGGTATGGACCAGTGTATTGTAGACAGCAGCAATAATCCTTGTTTTGTGCCTACAACACTCTGAGCCCCAGGAGAAGTTGCCCACACCCAGCCTCAAGGCATGGTACTTCTTATTGCCTCCCCACACACAGACTCTGTAGACGGCAGGAGCCAATTTTAGTGTTGGCAACAAGGTGTCCCAGCTCATATTTTCGCTTTTTGTGGTAGGGATTTTTCTTGCCCCCGGTCTTGTGGCACTTGTGCCAGCTGTCCTGAGAGATGGCTTGGCACCTGCTGGAAAGATCCTATCCCCAGTTGTTTTTTCTTAATTTAATTCTTGAAGTCATTTATTGAATAATTTAAAGAGAGGGAGAAACATCAATTTATTGTTCCACTTATTTATGCATTCATTAATTGACGCTTCTATGTGCTCTGACCAGGGATTGAACCCACAGCCTTGGTGTATTGGGTCAATGCTCTAACCAACTGACCTACCCTGCCAGGGCCCCCAGTTTTTAAAAAAACCTGTCCCGTTTTCTCTACAAATTGTTAAGAATTAAAGGGGAGCCTGGCTGGGCGTGGCTCAGCAGCTGAGCATGGACCTGGGATCCAGGAGATCGTAGTTCGATTCTGGTCAGGGCACATGCCCAGGTTGTGGGCTCAATCCCAAGTAGGGGGCATGCAGGAGGCAGCCGATCAATGACAACTTTCTCATCATTGATGTATCTCTCTTCCTCTCTCTGAAATCAATAAAGATATATTTTTAAAAAAAGAAAAAGAAAAGGGAATTTAAATTCCATGTGGGTGTTTAATTTCCAAGAGCTCACTATGGAAAACTGGATCACTAATTTTTGTACAACCTAATGAAGCTAATTTCACTTTAGAATAGGTATGCTCTCAAAATTCACTTTAAAATAAAAAATTAAGGTCTTACGGTGAAACGTGCAGCCTGGGCGGGGCCCAGAGTGGTGGGCGGGGCCCGAGTGGTGGGCGGGGCCACGTGGGCGTTGGGCGGGGCCCGGGAGACCCGGCCTCAGGTGGACGCGCNTCAGGTGGACGCGCGCTCCCGCCTGGAAGCTGTGGGCATGGTGGCCCCTGTGGTGTACCTGGTAGTGGCGGCTCTGCTTGTCGGCCTAATCCTCTTCCTGCATCGCAGTCGGGGCCGAGCGGCAGCAGGTAGGCGACGTCGCCGCTCCAGGCCGGTCGGGCCGCGTTCTCTGACCTCCCGGGCCTCGGTAGGCCCTCGCGCCGCGGCTCCTGCGCATG